ACCACAACCTCCCCACCCCACCACTCCCCACCCCAGGCACCACAACACTCCCCACCCCAGGCACCACAACCTCCCCCACCCCAGGCACCACAACACCTCCCCACCCCAGGCACCTGGCACTCCCCACCCCAGGCACCACAACCTGCCCCACCCCAGGCACCCCACTCCTCACCCAGGCTCCCCACCCCAGGCACCTGCCTCCCCCCACCCCAGGCACCACAACCTCCCCCACCCCTCCATGGCACCACAACCTCCCCCACCTCCATGCACCACAACACTCCCCCCCACCTCCATGCACTGCCCTCCCCCACCCAGGCACACGCCTCCCCCACCCCAGGCACCACAACACTCCCCCACCCCAGGCACCACAACACTCCCCCACCTCCATGCACCACAACCTTCCCTCACCCCAGCAGTCCACAACTACCGTATGAGATGTCTCTAGTCTTGTTACCACGACGCCATAATGAAGCACCATATGACACGCCATAATAACAAACATTAACCCAACCCATGAACTTAGAGGAGCTGTGAATAGGTTGAAATGGTATCCGGTTATGATGTATCGTGTCCACATTCTATCCAAGGACCGTGTGTTAAGTTTTCCTTATAATTGAAGAAGTAACTATTTAACGGGATGATTTTATAACTTCTAAATTACACTAAGGTTTACGGTGTATCAATTAAGAGATGAAATTAACGTTAGGAATGGTTGTACCTGTGCCTTACCTATAGTTTACCTGGTGTTGGGTGAAAGTGTGTAGTTAAGGTGGCTGCTACAGTTCCGGGTAATATATTCATCTTAGGAACCTAACCTAATTTAACCTAATCCAAAGCATACCAACAATACCTAACCTAACCTAACCTAGCATTATGGCGCTCTCAGGATGTTGTCATGGGGCTCTCAGGTGGTCAGGATGCTCTCAGACTCCCCCCCCCCCTCTCTCTCTCTCTCTCGGCCTCTCTCACATAACAAGTTCTTAGTGTCATACTTACCTGTGATTTTCTCACCCTCTCTAATGCCACAGGTCACAGGTTCTTCCCAATTAATTTCAAATACCCATTTAATTTCAGGATCATAATAAACACTGTATAAATTTGTCAAATATAATATTGAAAATTAAAATTCACATCTTTATCAGTACATATATTACCCAACTCCTATATATTATGACATCTTACATAATAACCAAAGGCACCCAACTAACATGGCATAACTAGTAAACAGAAAGAAACAATAAGCCACCTGGCAGTACAACCATAACATATATATTCTGTCAATACAAAAGATAATGCAAGTTAACCTAACATACAATACCCACAAAAAACACGGACCAAATATAACATACACTGGTAACATATAATATACATAAAGTACAGGTAACACGGACCAAATATAACATACACTGGTAACATATAATATACATAAAGTACAGGTAACACGGACCAAATATAACATACACTGGTAACATATAATATACATAAAGTACAGGTAACACGGACCAAATATAACATACACTGGTAACAATACTCTAACCAGTAAATACAGATATAATGAAAATATTCCTATAAAAGATAAATCCTAATTTAGTCTTCCCTATAACATGGTATAAGCAGAGACAAGACCTAATTACATTAAATCAACGACCTAACAGGTGGTCCTGCACTGGTCCGCCCCCTCCTTAACATACAAGACCTACACTATACCTTGACTTCCTGTCAGTCCCTCACACGAGACTTTCACCAACAGACTTCCAGGTCTGGTATAATCCACGCCGTAACACACACTTTGCCGGGGAGGGTTTGGATAATCTTAAAATACACGATACTCTCTCTCACCTCCAGTAGAGTTTATACTGCGACCTCCTGTCACCCTCTGCTGACCAGCCTGTTGGAAGTTTCGGAACCCACAAGCCCACAACCTTGACTAGCAGGCAAAGATCTCAATCAATCACGAGTGTTCCCTATATTACGTCATGAATAACTGCTAACTGCTAGTTTTCATCCTGCTCATGACACTCGGAAAGTCGCGCGAATCTGCTTAAAACTTCACCTAAGTATCTCAAACTTTCCTGGTAACTCATCTCTCGTCTCCAAGGTTTCCGTTTGATAATTCTCACGTTTTACACTCAGGATGCAATGAATATTCCTACCATCCGTAAATTAAGCGTCTTTTTAGAGGAAGATAGCGGCTTTTCAGTAAACGCTTTATTGAGATAGTTAGAGCTCTTTAAAGTAAGTCATCGCTATATTTCCCCTCTGTGAAGTGTGTGTGTGTGTGGGAGGGCCAACTGTAAGCCCATATCACTAGCCTAACCACAAACCGTTAGTCCTGAACTCCCCCTCTCCCCAAACGTAAACAATCACCCTCTCCACCTCTCACTGGTATAACGAGAAAAAAGAATAAGTATATAAATAAATAAGTAAATAAATATAAAGAAATAAAAAGACAATAAAAGAGTAAGTTGTTACATAAAATGTGTTACATCAAAGTAGGGACTTATAATCACATTTGTTACTCGAGCCTTTTTTTAGTAATTGGGGAAGGGTTTTTTTTTGTAAATTAACCCCCGTTTTAATAAGTTAGCTATATTTTCCGCTTTTGGGAGCGTTTCTGCATCTTGCTTTGACGAAATAAGATAGGTAGTTAAGATTGCTTTGCTTATCGCACTGACACGCAGCTCAGCTTCTAGTGTTTGTTGGTACAATAAGGGTTCGTGCCAAGACGTGCACCAGCGCGGCTAATGAGCAAGTTATTGATCCCATGCTTCTAGTGGGAACCGCTGCTCCACCTATGATGATGTGGTGTTGTAGAAGTCATGTATCAAGTGTTATATAGGTCATGTAGCCAGACATTAAGTATTGTAGAGGTCATGTATCAAGTGTTGTAGAGGTCATGTATCAAGTGTTGTAGAGGTCATGTATCAAGTGTTGTAGAGGTCATGTATCAAGTGTTATAGAGGTCATGTATCAAGTGTTGTAAGAGGTCATGTATCAAGTGTTGTAAGAGGTCATGTATCAAGTATTGTAAGAGGTCATGTATCAAGTGTTGTAAGAGGTCATGTATCAAGTGTTGTAGAGGTCATGTATCAAGTGTTGTAAGAGGTCATGTATCAAGTATTGTAGAGGTCATGTTTCAAGTATTGTAGAGGTCATGTATCAAGTATTGTAGAGGTCATGTATCAAGTGTTGTAGAGGTCATGTATCAAGTGTTGTAGAGGTCATGTATCAAGTGTTGTAAGAGGTCATGTATCAAGTGTTGTAGAGGTCATGTATCAAGTATTGTAGAGGTCATGTATCAAGTGTTGTAGAGGTCATGTATCAAGTGTTGTAGAGGTCATGCAGCCAGACAGGAAGTGTTGTAGAGGGGAAATAGTTGAATAGGATGTGTGCATGTATTTGGTTCCTGAAAATTAAATGTTTCCTCTACTAATTTACCTCTTATAACCTAACCTAACCTAACCTAACCTAATCTTACCTTATCTAAACTAACGTAACCTAATCTAACTTAACCTTACCAAGCCTAACCTAATTTACTCTAAATTAACCTGACCTAACCTAACCTGACCTGACCTACCCTGACCTAACCTATCCTGACCTAACCTATCCTGACCTAACCTATCCTGAACTGACCTGACCTAACCTAACCTGAACTGACCTGACCTAACCTGACCTACCCTGACCCTACCTACCCTGACCTAACCTATCCTGACCTAACCTACCTTAACCTGATTTAAATCATCCTGATAGGCATATTTTCTTTTCATCCAGTGCGTGTTTATAGAAAGAAATGCATAAATAGGTAAACAAATAACAGAATGACGAGACTAAGTGACCCATGCAGCGACTGTTGCTAGGAACGGGGTGAATATTACCAACAAATGCCTTCAGACTAGTCATCTTATAGAAATGTCTAAAATTTACTGAAATTGGTCATATATATACTTAAAGATGTCTGAAAACTATTTAATTTTGTTATATGTATACACAAATGCATATATAATAAGCTGTGTACATCTGTGTGTTGTGTTTTGAAGTCACTTGGCCGGCATCCGTGTCCGTTGCCATGGTGATGATGTCGTCACTACGGAAGTCCTCGGTGATGATGGTGTTTAGAGTCGAGATGTCAGGATCAGGAGTCAGTGTTGTGATGGAGACAAGAGGCGCCGCGCCACTAGTCGGAACAGGGAAGTAGGAGGGAGGGGGGGGTTAAGTAGATTATCTCCTGGGGGTAGACAGTCCGCAGTTGACACACGACGGCTGCCATTAATATCACGTCATGATTGTAAGTGACACAGCATGATATACAGGGTACACTCGTCCCAGCTCTTACTCTGCACCACAGTCAGTGCACTACAACTTTTGGGTCACCCTGTATTACACCGACTTATGTGTACTCCTTGTCTTAAGGTTGCGCAATTATGTTTTAATTATCATATGTGGTCTTTTTCTGAGGTCTAGTCTAGGTTACTTTATATTCTTGGATTATGTGTATTTGAGAATCATCCAAATAAGACGTAACCTTTTCTTGTGAATGGTAAAAGTCCATTTCTTTCAAAAAGAAAGTGGAAAATTATCAAATGTGGGAGAGAGAGAGAGAGAAAACGAGAGTTGTGTTAGTGATAAGAAGTTGCGCATATTGCTACTTTCATCCCGAAATCTGGCCTCCGTAGCCTTGGGAGCCACAGGTGTTGTTATCCAGGTGTCACTCTGGTGTGTGTGTGTGGGTGTGGGTGTGTATGTGTGTGTGTGTGGGTGTGTGTGTGAATTTTGTGGGGATGATCCGCGGATGTGGATGTGGCCTCAATCACTGGTATTTAATAATAGTTGCTTGGACATCAACAAGAGTTTCTTGATATTTATTAATGTTACTTAAATATTAGTGCTAGGTGCTTAAATGTTAATGTTACTTAATTGTTGAAGTATATAGCTTGTTACGGTTACTTAAATGTTGAAATTATTAACATGTTACGGTTATTTTAATGTGATGTTGTCCACAGAGGAGATCCTTGGTAGTAACAGTGCTGTGTGGTTCTCGCCTGACGGTGATATGTTAGCGTACGCCTCCATCAACGATACCTTAGTGGACACAGTGCCCATCCCCGAGTACGGCGCCTACCAGCAGTACTCTGTCGTCCACTCACTCAGATATCCTAAGGTAAGTCTCTCTCTCTCTCTCTCTCTCTCTGAGTTTTAGATAACTTTAAGAGAGTTCTACATGACGTTAAAAGAGTGTGTACGTAGTTGAGTCTGCACTGCTCTGTTCTAGATAGACTTAAGTCAGGCTGGCCTAGGTAGGTGAGTTCTATGTAACAATGCGAGTGTAGTTCTGATTCTAGATAATGTAAAATTATATCTGACTTTCTATATGAGTTCTAGATTACATTAAGCGTGTCTTACTATCTGAACACTAGATTATGTAGAGCCAGCTCTAGATAGGAATTAGTGAGTCTGGCTCTAGATAGATGAGTTGTGATAAACATGATACGACTCTGGTTTTGTTTAGTTAAGTTCCCATTAACTTTAAAGCCAGTTCTAGTGACCCTTGTTATTTAAGCGTCATTGTTCTCAAGGGGTTAAGTCATTGTTCTCAAGGGGTTAAGTCATCGTTCTCAAGGGGTTTAAGTCATCTTTCTCAATTAGGTCATAGTTCTCAAGAGGTTTAGTCATCGTTCTCAAGGGGTTAAGCCCTCGTTCTCAAGAGGTTTAGTCATCGTTCTCAAGGGGTTTAGTCATCGTTCTCAAGGGGTTAAGTCATCGAATAGGTTAAGTTACCGTATTCAATGGGCTAAAGTATGTAAATAATTGCCCTATATGTACAGTACTAAATATCCTAAGATTAGTTCTAGGCGTCTGGGTGAGTTAACTAATACGAGATGTTCCTAATCCTATTTCTTTAGTTTGTTAGTTACTAGTAAGTCAGTCTTAGAAATTTCGGTGATCTCCATGATCGTTATAGATTATGTAAAGCTAGTTATGGCTCAGTTTTTGATATATATTAGCTAGTTCTAGTTATTCTGGTTATTTACGTTCTTTGTCCACAAGCGATCCATTGAGCCACAAACTTAATATATATGTTGTCAGCTGATCTCCATAACATGTACTTGAGAATTGAGTTGTGTCAGCAGTCTCCTTATTGTCATCCTGTCATGAACAAATTAGTGGTTCCAGTTTCTCCTTATTGTGATTCTGTCAAGGACCAAATAGTGGTTCTAGTATCGCCTCCCTGTTATTATCAGTCTCAAAGCTCCGCTGTTATTTTCCTCTGAGTGTTTCCGATTTGTCTGGTTGATATTTTAGGGTAAGAATCTTATATACTTATATGTGTATGTTTATATGCTGCCTTTATTGATTATATATACATTATATATTATGCTGATAACCGCAAGGAAAGAAGAAAACACGAAGTTCCCAAGCGCTTTCGTGTAATTCACATCTTCAGGGGTGAGTACAGACTGTACCCACCCCTGAAGATGTGAATTACACGAAAGCCCTTGGGAACTTCGTGTTTTCTTCTTTCCTTGTGGTTATTAGCATATACCTGGATCACGTGCACGCACAGTGATTTACTTACAATATATATTATGTTACTTCTTACCAAAGTTGTAATGTGTTTAGGCCTGTGTAATCACGAATGTGTTAGGCACGTTGTACGACAACAACAACAACAACAATAAACCACCTGAGTAAGAGTCAGCATGTGGCTTTTCCTTCTCCCATTCAATCATGTAAGATATTACACTGGCGACGAGGATGGGATTCACAAAGTGTTGGTGAAGTCCTTGAAGAGAGGGTAGTGACTACTGAAGGGAAGGCTACTCTGAACCTGGAGAATTTGAGTGAAGAGAGCAACCATTGGCTGGCGTCAGTGGATACATTGGACGAGTGGGGGAGTATGATGCAGACATGGAGAACTTCACATCATATTGTGAGAGAATGGACTTCTTCTTCCTGGCAAATGAATTAATGGGCGACGGTGGTGATGCTCAGAAGAAGAAGGCCCTTGAAGAAAAAAGGAAAGCAATCTTTTTGGCAGAGGTAGGACCTAATGTTTATTCTACTCTGGTCAATCTGCTTGCTCCAGACAAACCCAAAGACTCCTCACTGATTCAGATTACCAAGATTCTGAAGCAACATTTTGATACTGCTCCACTTGAGATTGCTGAAAGTTACAAATTTGGCACAAGAGATAGAGGGAAAGATGAACCAGTAAGTGATTATATAGTAGCTTTGAAGAAGTTATCCATTCACTGTAGCTTTGGACAGTTCTTGAACCAAGCTCTAAGAGACAAGTTTGTGATAGGTCTGAATTATGAAAAAAATACAGACTAAGTTAATGAACACCACTAACTTGACTTTTGAAACAGCATGTCAGATAGCTACAAGCATGGAATTAGCAGAGAAAAACACCAGAGAATTTGTTCCCAATACCGGTAGTGAAACAGTTGGCAGTAGTGGCTTAGTGTGTAAAGTAGCTAAAAGGAAGAATTATTCCACAAAACAAGGAACACATGCTGATTTACACTGCAAGAGATGCCTAGGGAAACATGAAAGCTTTCAGTGTAAGTAAAAAAATTCAAGATGTTACAATTGTTAGCGTATTGGACATATTGCTCCTGCCCGTGAGAAAGAATTTACAGCCCCTGCCAGAAGTGATAAAGGTAGAGTATATGTCGTTGAAGGTGAAGAGAAGGAAATGAAAAACAGTATTCATGAGTGTTTGTAATTTTGAACCTGATAATGATGAGAGTGTCCATGTGTTTATTATTTACACCAGTCATGAAGAGAAAATTAAACATAGGTATAATGTGGACTTGTGCATTAATGACACAACTGTGACCATGAAAGTGGATATTGCAGCTGATTTCTCCATAATGAGTAGAGATATGTATGAGAAGCTATTTGCGCATGTGCCTTTAGAAGACTCAGGTGTCAAGTTGAGAACCTATACTGGAGAGATTTTGAACACAGAAGGTAAATTAGAGTGTGAAGTAAAGTAAAAAAATCAGAATTTGAAGTTGCCATTAATTGTAGCTAGTTTTGTGAATAGACCAACTTTGTTAGGTAAGAACTGGTTGTGTGAACTTGAGATGGACTGGAAGGAGATATTTAGTGTTAGAATGTGTAACAGTGTTCCAGGTCTTGAGAAATTGCTTGAAAAATACAAGATTTTATTTAAGGAACAGAATAGTATAAAGGGTTATGAAGCTCATTTCACCATTGACAAAGATGTTACACCCATATATGCTAAGTCCAGACTTGTTCCTTATGCATTGAAAGGTGAGGTTGAGAAGGAATTAGACAGACTTGTGATTGAGGGAATTATTGTGAAAACCGCCAAGAGCAATTGGGCTGCTCCTATAGTAATTTTACCTAAAGCTGATAAATCTGTAAGACTATGTGGTGATTATAAGTTACCATTAATCAAGCTGTCAAGATTTGTTTGCTGCACTAACAGGTGGAACCATTTTCACTAAGTTAAACTTGTCCCAAGCATATGCTCAGGTCTCTGTTGGTGCTGAAAGTCAACAGTACCTTACCATCAACACTCATAAAGGATTGTATAAGCTCAAAAGGTTGCCTTATGGTATTAAAAGTGCACCAAAGTTATTCCAGTGCATCATGGACACTGATAATACACAGAGTGCAAGTGAAACCCCTGTAAAACTTGGAGGGAATAGTCCTAGAAGATCAAACAGAGTTAGGAGACCTGTAATGAAATTAGACCTCTGATTGTCTGAATTGTGAACAGGCCTTTCAAAACTGTTTAGTTAGGAAGTTATATTTGTTGTGTTCTATTCTCTTCTTCCCTGCCATATGTAATCTGTAAGTTTTGTTTATTTAGGATTTGTAGCAACCATGAACTCTTTTTGAAAGGGAGAAATAGTGTTATATATGTGTATGTTTATATGCTGCCTTTATTGATTATATATACATGATATATTACGTTACTTTTTAACAAAGTTAGAATGTGTTTAGGCCTGTGTAATCACGAATGTGTTAGGCACGTGGTACGACAACAACTACAGTACAATAAACCACCTGAGTAAGAGTCAGCATGTGGCTTCTCCTTCTCCCATTAAATCACGTAAGATAGTACATACTGTACATCAAGAATTATTTTGACATACAAACATTTTCTTTAAGGCCAATTGCGATACAGTAGTTTGAAGAGTCTCTGAGTTTATAAAAAAATATTCGTTGTTGATTTATATCTTGTATAGTTTGCATAAAAATGTATTTTAGTTTTATGGGAATGTTGTAGGAAAAATGTATACTGTATTTGACTTCTGTTATTGTTTCTCTAAATTAATTAAGGTAATGAACACTTCATATTATTTATAATAATGAAGGATAATTATAAACATATTTATGTGAATAATTTTATGAATAACATAAATTATTTTGTTATTACAGCCTGGCCAAGAGAACCCCAAGGTCACGCTGTGGGTGGTTGACCTTAGTGACCCAAGGTTGATCAATCCACATGACCTGAAGCCCCCGAACGTGGTCAAAGACCAGTTAGTGCTCTCCGCAGTGTGGTTTGTGTGGGAGGATTAACGACGTTCTTATCGTTTGTTGTCTCACTTAAGTGTAGTTTGGCCTTGGTGGCACCAACATCACCATCCGCACCTACCAGCCAGGCCGCCGGGACCCTCAGTCCACGGCCTCTACGCCACAGTTCACTACACCAATGGACCAGCGGAGAAGGCTTGTCCCCAGAGTACCTCAGTACCCTTCTCCATCAGTGTTAATCGAGCGGTCAGATTTGTCATAAAACAGGTCCAAGCGTTAGTTTTCAGTACAGTTTCTGGTGTAATAATTAATAATCTATAAGCTACTTTGCAGCTTTCTACTCTTAGTGCCGCGTTGACAGAGAGCCACATACTACAGCAGATGTTTGAGGTAATCCAAATAATAAAATTAGAGTAAAACAAACACAGATGAGGACGTTGTTGTTCCTTTTCTACAGTATTCTTCACCTTAACATCTAAACTACTCACTCCTATTGTAAGTGGCTTCACCCTCTCTAGTACCGGTAGTTATATGTTACAGTAGTGATGAACCCAACAAGTAGATATAATTCTTCTGTGCAGCTTTTGATGTGACGCCCCCACCTGTAACATAGTTCCCCCTGTTTCAAGATATATTCGTTTTCTGTCACATGTCTCGGAGAGAATTCCTGGATTTTCACTGTGTTTTCGCACTGCAAACAACAATGGGTATATTAATTAATATTTGCAGCGAGCGGTGTTATCTCCCCTCTGTTATTGAGCATATCATGCATGGTTTTCATGGCACTAGAAAGCATATTAGAGTCATGTGTTGTGCCTGCACCGAGACCTCAGCGGACTATGGGATGGTCAACGTAATGGATGTCGACGGTTCCTTTGACAACAACTAACCATGGACATCCATTTTGCCCATATTATCAACACCATAAAGCTAATTTATATATAAACGGTATCTCATATGAGAAAGAAAGCCCAGGGCGCCCTTCACAGACTTGTATTAATAAATGTGGCCTGTGTAGAGGCAGTCCCTCACGTTCGGTAGTCAAGTGCGATATACAACAATGTTGGGAGCGTTCAGCTGCTCCTCCCAAGTTGGTGACACTCAAGATAATTAACAATCACTTATGTTTTATTTGGTTTGCCATTTATTATTAAATTCACTGTAAAGTAATGCTGAGAGTAAACTGTATATGATTTGATATTTTCTATAGTTTAATATGATTCTAGATGCATATGATAATTTCTCTAGTTTAGTATAATGGTAGATGCATATGACAGTAGCCCTCCCCTCCCCCACCCCTCCTCTGTATGATCTAGTCTTGACAGACATAGTTTTTATAACTGTTCTTTTTTGTGTACACTTGTGCAGTTATTAGTTCACACAAACCTCTTTATATATATATATATATATATATATATATATATATATATATATATATATATATATATATATATATATATATATATATATATATATATATATATATTGTGTTATCCATCAAGTTTTTTACGTGATTTTCGTGTTTTATCTATTTTATACCCATTTTGTTTCCTCTACTATACCTTACCATAGTATTTTTTAATAAACTATAAATATATACCTAAATATTTTCTCACATTTTCACTTTGGGAAACTTTTTAATTAATTCTGAAGTGATAGGTGTTGCCAAATGTGCTCTTAACACAGTGTGTCCATGCTCAAAGGTTGACGGAGTTGTGGCAACACTGCTTGTACTGGGTAGCAATATTTTAACTTATTTTGTTAGCGGGACATAATACTGTAAATATTTGTTGATGATAAAGTCGGATGAGCTTGACTATTGAACCCTTCTCGTCTCCCGCCGTCCTCGCACGTCTTCTGTCCGATCGCTCGTCCGTCCGTTTGTCCGTACGGGAACAAAGAACGTGTTAGCTCGTACCATTAGCAATAGACAATGAATAAAGTTTATATATATATATATATATATATATATATATATATATATATATATATATATATATATATATATATATATATATATATATATATATATATATATATATATATATATATATATATATATATATACCTCCGAGTTCAATAATAATATTTTCCTGTCGTTAATTTTAAGTTATAGCTTCTTGTTGCGTGGCGGCGGGAGGGAGTCAACCACCGCGCCACTAATCTTAAACCTTTAGTAACTCCTTAATAAATCCATTAACTCTCAAAGGCTCACTAGGTACTCTACTATAATCAGAGTTACAACATCTACGATACCCTGGTCCGTTCCCCACGGGTGTAATATACAGTGGGTGTTGCCAGGTACCGGCAGTGGTCTAGGTCTCTCTCCGTACAAGAGCTAAGTAAACAAACTCCTAATCTTCTTAAAGAGACCTGTGTTTTGTTATTGTTTAATATTTGTACCACACTGGTGTATACTCAGTTGATGTTTATCCTCTCCCTTAATTACCTTATTACCCCTTATTATCTTCATTTAGCACAGTTTTATTTACCCTTGTTCGTGTTTCTCTTTTATCAAATTATCCTTGGGTCTTATGCCACGTACACCTGTTTAATCCTTATAAGTTGTTTTACTTAACTTTCCTTTGGAATGTGACTGAAAAGTTTTCTACGTTGAATGTTTGTCAAGCGGGGAAGGGGAGGGGGTCATGTCACTTCTCTCTTAAGCTTTTACCCTCCTACCTCTCCCTCTCTCTTCCTCCCATAAAGGCATATAGTGCTGTGATCCGTTCTTAATATAGAATATTAGGTGAGTAAATCGCCCCACCCCCCACTATCCCCCCATATATATGATTAGTTCAGTGGATATATCCCTCCCTCCCTCCCCTCATTGCATTATTGATTCACTGGATATATTCCCTCTCTACCCCTCCCTCCCCCATCTTCCCTTACCCAACTTGGAAGGTAAGATAAATTCATCAAGTATAAGCCACCTCCTCTTGCTTATATATCAGTACAGGGTATTACCAAATGTTACTATACTGTACTTCCTTTTGTCAGATATGTCAAGTATACTCCCTCCCTCTTGGTCCCTTGTCAGATATGTCAAGTATACTCCCTCCCTCTTGGTCCCTTGTCAGATATGTCAAGTATACTCCCTCCCTCTTGGTCCCTTGTCAAGTATACTCCCTCCGTCTTGGTCCCTTGTCAGATATGTCAAGTATACTCCCCTCCCTCCCTCCTTCTATGATAACTCTGCTGTCATATATGCCAAGCTTACTGTACTCCTTCCTTCCCATACTGCTGTCAAATATGCCCAATATATTGCCCCCTTCCCCTGTTACGAGCCTGTCACATTGTCCCTCTGTCAAGAGCCTTTCATGCTGTTCCTTCCCTGTCATGAGCCTGTCATATTGTACATCCCTCTATAATGAGCCTGTCATTCTACCCCTTACCTGTCATGAACCTGTCACAGAGTGCCTCACTCTGTCAAGAGCCTGTCACGATGTACCTCCCTCTGTCAAGAGCCTGTCACGATGTACCTCCCTCTGTCAAGAGCCTGTCACGATGTACTTCTCTCTGTCATGAACCTGTCACACTGTCCCTCCCTCTGTCATGAGCCTGTCATACTGTTCCTCTCTATTAAGAGCCAATCATACTTTTCCTCCCCCTGTCATATTGCCCCTGCTGTCACGAGCATGTGTCATAATGTTACTCTTCCTGTCATGGCCCACTCTCATATTGCCCCCTTGTTATAATCCTATATCATAATGAACCTGCTGTCATGAACCTGTGTCAGATTCTCCTTTGTCATGAACCTGTGTCATTCCGTCAGCCTGTCATGAATGACATGCTGCGCCCGAACTTAAGTCACTTAAGTCATGAGCTAGTGTCATACTGTCTCCTATCATGAGCTAGTGTCATACTGTCTCCTGTCATGAGCTAGTGTCATAATGTCTCCTGTCATGAGCTAGTGTCATACTGTCTCCTGTCATGAGCTAGTGTCATACTGTCTCCTGTCATGAGCTAGTGTCATACTGTCTCCTGTCATGAGCTAGTGTCATACTATCCCCTGTCATGAGCTAGTGTCATACTGTCTCCTGTCAGAGCTAGTGTCATACTGTCTCCTGTCGTCAGCTGAGCTAGTGTCATACGGTGTCTCTAGTGCCATACTGTCTCCTGTCATGAGCTAGTGCCATACTGTCTCCTGTCATGAGCTAGTGCCATACTGTCTCCTGTCATGAGCTAGTGTCATACTAGTCCCTGTCATGAGCTAGTGTCATACTGTCTCCTGTCATGAGCTAGTGTCATACAGTCTCCCGTTATGAGCTAGTGTCATACTGTCTTGTCATGAGCTAGTGTCATATGGTCTCCTGTCATGAGTTAGTGTCATACTATCCCCTGTCATGAGTTAGTGTCATACTATCCCCTGTCATGAGCTAGTGTCATACTGTCTCCTGTCATGAGCTAGTGTCATAATGTCTCCTGTCATGAGCTAGTGTCATACTGTCTCCTGTCATGAGCTAGTGTCATACTATCTCCGGTCATGAGCTAGTGTCATACTGTCTCCTGTCATGAGCTAGTGTCATATGGTCTCCTGTCATGAGTTAGTGTCATACTATCCCCTGTCATGAGCTAGTGTCATACTGTCTCCTGTCATGAGCTAGTGTCATACTGTCTCCTGTCATGAGCTAGTGTCATCCTGTCCCTTGCCATGAGCCCTTGTCATACTGATTCCCTGTCATTAACGCGTGTTGCATCCCTCCCATTGTCATGAACCTGTGTCATAATGCCCCAAGTCATGACACAGTATCACACAGCCCCGCTCATAAGTTAATGTCACACATTTCCCTTGTCATATGTTAATATCATACTGGCTCATGTAATAACTTTATCACACTGACTCTTGTCATAATTGTGTCATATTATCACTTGTCAGTTCATCTCATACTGATCAGAGCCAGGAGCCTGGTGTGCTACCCCACCTGTCTTGAGGTGTCAATCCCTCCCCTCTGTCATGGGCGTATTTCATACACCTGTCATGGGCGTGTGTCATATACCTGGGTTTCTCTCCCCCAGTGGCAGG